CTGGCAGGTTCTGCCATGCTAGAAAGACCTCACAGATGGTCCCAGGAGCAAACTGTTTTCCAATAACCAGTCTACCTACTCACAGAGGCACATAACTAGTAAGCTGACCACTTGACGATAATTTTTTTTGGCCACAACAACCTCTGAAACAAATAAAATTTAACATGGCCCTTGACCTTGAGTACCCCTCCCCTTATGCTTCACCATCCCAAGAAAGAGGGCAGAGGAGGATGCTGCAGATCATAGTTTCTAAACTGTCAGCAAACTTCTCATTTTCAAATGAGAGAATTTTGGGAAGACACTGGCAAGAGCAGCACAAGATGCTCAGGCATAGATGGGTTGCCATTTACAGCAAGTGAACTCCTGGACTGATGAGATCAAAGAACACTTTGAGTACAGAATATATTTTAAAAAACACATAAAGGTTTTTTGGGGAAGGCACTAGCAAGACCTAGGGGGTTCAGGAAAGGTCTCCCATAGGTGGTGACACCTGAGCTGGGGGCTGAAGGGAAGCTGAGGTGAGGAGAGAACACAACTCCAGGCATAGGGGACAGCCTGTGGGAAAGTAGAGAGACAGGAGAGGCTTGTCACATGAAAGGAATAGCAGGACCAGTTTGTCCAGATTATAGCCTGCACAAAGATGATAATGTATAATAAGGCTGGAAAGGAACTTTGGAGCTAACCTACAAAGGGCCTTAAATGCCAAATAGTCGTTTGGTTTTGACCCTAGAGGTAACAGGGGGCCAACTGGAGTTTATTGAGTAGCTGTTAGCTGTTCGTCCTTTGTTCTCAAAGTGGACGGTGGCATCAGGAAGGTGATGCCATGATGTGCAAGTGAATTGGAGTTAAGTGAGGAAGGGCTGTGCAGTGAGGAAGGGTTGTGCAAAGTCACCAGCCTCACTTTCTCCTCCAGAGCCACCTGGCTCCAGTGGCAAGCTATAGATCAAGATAACTGGAGATGGACCAGGCTGTGGTGGGAAACCTTGGCCTTTTTTAGCTAAAGTCATACTCGTTCAGTGATTAAGGCTGGGTAAGAAATGAGGCGAAGAATGGCCTTTTTTACTTAGTCAAAACAAAACACAAAATCAATCTGGGAGGGGAAGACCCTCAGGGTTTCTGGCCAAAACAGAAACAATTTCTATTTACACTCACTCTGAGCTATCTGCCCAAACAATGACCTACCGAGTAAGGCCTGGGCTGGGGACCTATTGCTGGCCGATCAATGAGAGTCAGAGTGATTTGGGTTTAAGGCAAGTCCTTAAAAAAGAAATCTAGCCCTTAAACTCTAAGATATCTTGCAAGGTTTCAGGGATCAAAATTCTATTCCTTCAGGCAGAGCACCCAAAGATAAGGGAATGATTCCCTATGTAGACAGAGGGAGAGGAAGGAGGGAGTGGAGAGAAAGAAAGAAGGAAGGACAGCAAGAAGGAAGGAAGAAAGGAAGGAAAGAAAGGAGGAAGGAAGGAAGAGAAGGAAGAAGGAAGGAGCTGGGTTGCCCAACTGGAACTGGCCAGTCGGGTACCCAGTGGGACAGCTACTACTACTCACAGATTGTTGTTTGTCTTTTTGTTATCGAAGAGAGCCATGACATCAGGAAGATGATGCCATGACTTGCAAGTGAATTGGATTTAAGTGAGGAAGTGCTGTGCAAAGTCACCAGCTTCATTCTATCCTCTGGAGCCTTGTGGGTCCAGTAGCAAAATATAAATCAGGACAACTGGAGATGGCCCTCTTATTGAGTACTAGAATGACATGATCAGACTTTTACTTTAGGAAAATTGGTATGTTAGCTATAAAAATGATTGGAGAGGAGAAGAATTTGAAAGGAGATTATTTTGGGGTTGGGGTTCAGGTGAAAGGTAATGATGGCCTGAACTAATGTGAAGTTGAATGCTTAATAATAGAATTTACTGCTAATTAAGCCTCTTGTGAATTTTAACCATAGCCAACTAATCTAGAATTTAGCCAATTTAGCCAAATTTTAGATTTTTGATCATGACTGTCAGTGTCTCTAAACCAGTAAGTTCCCTGGGTCTCCAGTTCCCTTTCATCTGTAAAGAGATGGTCACTTCCCCAGCACTTTGGCCAGAAATGGATGCTAATAAAATCCAGTAAGTCTTCCAAATTGGGTTGGAAGCAGAGGGATCCAATTATAAGAACCTAATTCTTTCTTCCATCTCAGGAGCTGGTCGGTATTAGGCGGCTTTACTATGCAAAGTGCTATGAGGGGCTGATTCATTTGCAGTAATTAAATGAATGTCAATTGTTTTAGTTGTTTCTAAGGGAGCATTCTACATGAGTATTAGCATGTTCTGCTAACCCTGACGCTCTGCACTTCAGGCCCCCGACAAACCCGTGGGGGATGACCATTGACCTGAGATTCTATACACAGCCATGCCAAATGCATCTCAATGAGCCAGTCTTTTGCTCTCTTTCCTCAGTTTCTATGGAACCAACGAAGCGGAACTAATATCAAGGCTGCATGCAGATGAAAAGAACAGAGAACGAAGGGGGACTTGAGGGGTGGGATTGGGAGGTGGGGGTTGTGGAGAGAAGACGTTTATAGCTAAGTTTGTTAAAGAGATACCCCTCCCTAATGAGTAATGTTTGGTTAGGGGATGGCAGAGAGAGCACCAGACTTGGTCTAGTATTCCTCGGTTCAAGTCAGCTCTATCCTGAACAAGTAGCTCTTCATCCCTTCTCTGTGAAATGAGGGAAGTTCAGTTAGACGACCTCTAATTCTCTTTCAGCCCTGACATTATGGGATTCTCAGCCCTTTAGCCATTAGTCCTCCCTGTGAACCCCTTTTTAGCCATCACCTGACAAGCTTATCACCAGAAAGGCAGACTTCTGGAACGGACAGAACTCCCTAGGCTATCCAGACAATAAAAGGCTTCACTAATAGATAGGGAAGGTAAGTGTTCGTCTAATCAAATATAGCAAATAGAGGCAGGTGGGTGGCACAGGGAATAGACCCCTGGGCTCTCAAATCAGGAAGATCTGATTGCAAATCCAGCCTCAGATAGCTGTGTTACCAACCTCTGACTCAGTTTACTCAAATGTTAAATGAGGATAATAATAGTGCCTACCTCACAGAGTTGTGAGGATCAAACACGTGTAAAGTGTTTAGCACAGTGCCTGGCACATAGTAGGTACTTCATAAATTCTTCATCCTACTCCTATATTCTGGATTATCTGCATAAATGGGCAGGAATTGTGGCCCAGACAATTTGTAACAATATATAATCTAAAAAAGTTATGACCATTCTATTTTGGGGTGTATTATGATTTTTTTTTGCTAAAGATTCATTTCAATCAATAAATAAATGTTTATTGAATTCTTCAACAGGCACTGTGGTACTTGCTAGGGATATTAAGAAAAAGCAAAGTGGTCCCTACCCACAAGGAATTTATGTCCCCTAATGATGATTGTTTTTTTTTCAAAATATTTTGAGTATATTGTGGGGAGGGAGGCCATCAGCCTGAGTTTAAACATTAGGTGAGTCATCAACAAGATAGAAAATCCACACACTAATAATGGCTAGAGGGGGTGTAGTTGGGGGCCCCACTCTCTCGCTAAATGACGGTTCTGTGGACAGAACTCTCAGTGCCAAATCGGTTTGTACAGAGTTTCACTAGGCTGTGGCTGTCAGAAAGAAGCCTGTGTGAGGTAATAGAAGGTGCATTGTAGGGACAGGCATGGTCAACTGAAGCTGAGAACACAAGACAAGGGGCTGCCTGCAGTAAAGTGGACACCCCTGAGAGTGGGCCTATGACCCCTGTCATGAAAAATGGTAAGGAAATCTGCAGCCCAGCATGGGATTTGTCTCCCTACTGAGGAAGGCAAGAGGTTTTTCTGAGGAGAGTAGAACCTGGGGTACTTCTGTCTCAGGTGGGCCTGGAAACCTGGCCCTGAGACTTATATAAACAAGGAGGGCATGCCAGCATACATCAGGAAGCTTGTATCTTCTATACTACTAATAATAAACAGAATAGCTTTTTGTTGTTGTTCAGTTGTTTTCAGTCATGTCTGATTCTTTGTGACCTCATTTGGAGTTTTTTTGGCAAAGACACTGGAGTGGTTTGCTATTTCCTTCTTTTTACAGAAGAGGAAACTGAGGCAAAACAGGGTAAAGTGACTTGCCCAGGGGTCACACAGCTAGTAAGCATCTGAGGCCAGATTTGAACTCATGAAGATGAGTCTCCCTGATTCTAAGCCCAGTACTCTATCCACTGCACCCCAAAATAATAAACATAATAACTTACATTCTTATAATTCCTTCAAGTTTACAAACCACTTTCTCTTCCAACTCTGGATCTATGAGCCTGTGACCTTCACAACTACACTGTGAGGTAGGAGGTAGGTAGAAGGCTTACTGATAACTGTGTTGGGGGCTGATCTTTCAGGTGCCTGACAATGCTGGGCTTCTGTGGCTCCAAGGCCCATCTAGGGGCTTAGGTCCTCTTTGGAAAGGCTCTGCACATCTAATTGGGGTAAGGGAATCCAGGACCTGAAACTTTAGAGTTATAGGACCAGAAACTCCTTGGCCCTCTAGGATTCCAGATTGTTCAAGTGTCAGAATAAAGGATTCACATTCTCTCTAGTCTGGTTTTAGATGGAGACATCATTGTGTCTGTATGTGACTGGATAACAGTTTGAAACCAGTCATTAATTATATCACCTTGGGCGAGTCACTTCCTTCCTCTATAACTTCAGTTTTCTTACCTGTCAAATCAGCATACTAATCCCTATCCTACCTATTGCATAAAGCTGTTGTGGGAAGGAAATTAAACAATAGTTAAAATATATAGCACTTTACTCATATCTCATTTGACACAAGCTATAATTTGATTATAAGATCAAATAGCTTTAATTGACCTTAAAGATCACCTGGATGAGGAAACTGAGGCTCATTGAGGTTAAATGACTTGCCCAAGGTCACAAAGATGGTAAATGACAGAGTCTGGATTTGAATCTAGGTCCTCTGATTAAAAGTCTTGGCTTTTTCTACCAGGCTATGCAGCCTTCCAAGTCCTCTCATGGCATTTCATCAGAAGAGGGAGGTCATCCTGGGTTCTCAAAGGTTCTGAGGTGAAGTATAGTATCTGGCAGGACCTACTAAGTTAGAAAAGTCTTGAGTATGGGCCTGACCATGGATTTTGATACAAAGACCAATCCAGTTAAATTTAGAGCAGTTCCTTACCAGGTTAGTCACAGGACGTTAAGCTACAGGAACTGATGAAGACCATATATTAAAGCTTGAAGGGGTGACATTCTTTGAGGGAGAGAGGATATCACAGGTCAATATCAATGAAATTACAGGTCCATTAGCATTTGCTATGAAAGACAGTGGGCATGAAAGTCCTCCGAAAGGGCTAAAGCCCTATCAAAATCAAGGTATTATTATTAGTGCCTGCCAGGCATTCACCCTATAAGCTTTCCTTCCACTTACTATGCCCCACAGTAAGGTTTTTTTTTTTTTCTGGCTACTAAGTTCTTAGGAAAATCAAAACATCCCCATACACTTGTCTTCCTCATCTATTTGTTCTCAAGTCTCCTAAACAAGGGCATTTCCAGTCATTTTATTCTGCAAAGGAGTGATAATATGCACTATTTATTTAATTTGCCATGGCTCTAAAATATTCAGGGAAATTAATACATATTCTTGTGGGACGTTACTACATGAAAGTAAAACCCAGTAGTTTTTCTGCTTATAATGTGACTTTAGTGGGCAAAGGCAAAATGATCCCACTCTCTATGTACTCAAAGACAGTGTAAGGATCTTGATCCCCATTGACATAAATGACATCATCAAAGTAGTCTTCCAGCAAAGAAGAATTTCTATAGAACGAATCTATTTTGAGCTTCACTTTTTCCTCTGTATCCTCTGGGTGCTGCATGAGACGCTTCTGGATCTGCATGGTTGGAGGTGGCTTGTACATGAGGTGATATCTACAAAAGAGCAAGCATATGGCACAAGAAAGCAGAGAATTCATTATTTCAGGGGGCACTGGGAGATTTGGTCCATATTCTCAATGCATACTGAGCTAAAAGCAGTATATGGGCTTCAAGAGGACCCCAAACCATGTTCAGCAGCAGCACCAAACATTTACTTACCACATACAGAGCTGGTGCTAAGCCCTGTAGTGGCAAGGGCTAAGACATTGCCTCCCACCCTTACGTAGCTTACGATCATCAAGGTGAGGAAAAAAGACATGAACATAAAAAAGATAAGTGACAATACAACTGGTAACTTCTACAGTGTTGTAGAAATTCCAGAGAGAAAACATGGTGGGCTGAGGAGCTCAGGGAAGGGGAGGGGCTGGGATCTGATCTGGACCTTCTATAAGGTGATTTGGATCCAGATGGATGAATTAAGTTGCTGATGGGACCAGTCTCTCCAGGTGGTCTATCTACCTTCTGGTTGGAGCTAAAGCATTCATTACCAAAGAGGAAGAGGATGTCAAGCTGTTTTCTTGTAAGGGCAACTATAGAACCTGTCCTGTCTTCCTTGAGTCTCTAAACAAGGAAATGTGTCTTTGGCTGTCAGAGAAGACAGACAAGCCAATACTTTGTTGAAGGGATATGAGTCACCTTAAAAATGAAAATCATACAAGGGACCTTAAGAAATGAGAAGGCAGGAGACAATTCAACCTGTAGCTCCTGATAAGCATGGAAATAAAGGTTCAAAGCTATTCTCCTTCACTCTAGAAAAGGAGTTCCCCCCACACACACAGCTACAGATGTTACCAATCACTGGAAGACTAAAATCCAAATGGAAAGCAGCATTTTTCCCAGTTCTTAATTTCATTCCAGTATCCCCATTTCACAATAATGAGGAAGAATATTGCCCCCTGGAATGGAATTTATAGTCCTAGACCTGCCATTGATTTACTGTGTGATTTTAGGCAACTTAATTACTTTTTCTATGTCCCAAACTAGCTTCAGCCAAAGAAGGCCAATAAAATTCAGATAGATCCAAGGCAGCTGGTCTGGTGAATTCACTTGTTTAAGTCAGCCATCAACATTCAATAGGACTTTCACTAGGATAATTTGAGACTTCATCAAGTCAAACCTATTTTCCTTTCTTTAGAATTCAGATTAATGAAAGAGGGTAAGGTGGGAGAGGGAGAGAGAGGAGGAGAGAGTAGGAGGTGGGGGAGAGACAGAGAGAGGCAGAAAAAGAGACAGAGACAGGAGAGAGAAAAGAGGAGAGAGAGAGAGAGAGAGAGAGAGAGAGAGAGAGAGAGAGAGAGAGAGAGAGAGAGAGAGAGAGAGAGAGAGAGAGAGAGAGTAAACTGACCTTTCTCCTGTGGCTGGATCTGTTCTTCTTAGAGTTAACCGTTCAATGACAGAATCATATGGTACATTCAGAAAAAACACCCTGTGAAGGAAGAACAGGCCAACCATTAGCATGTTAGTGGATTCATAAGAACATGACATTCTCCTTCCACAGAAACCAAAAAAGGAGTTGTTCTTTATAAATGTCAATGACGGCATGAAATCATGAACTATACCTTAGAGACCTTAGGTCTAGTCTTATCTCCTTTTTTTCTATATGAAGCTCAAAGAGGGCCTGCAGGGCCCAAGCCTCCTGCCTCACTTTTTGCACCACTCTACAATCACTCCCAAAGTTCATTAAAAATAATACTACTTCCTTCTAGCAAATGTTTGAAGTCATCCGCTAGTAAGTGCCAAGTGTTTGGTCTGAGGCCGCAGTTGAACTCAGGTCCTCCTGACTTTAGGGCCAGTGCTCTATTCACTGTACCACCTAGCTGCTCCTGTCCCTAAGCTTTTAAATGAAATGTAATTTCTTCTTTCAAGAAAAAGTTTCTTCTATTCCTCTTCTCTCTCCTCTTCCCTTTCTATCTTACTCTTTCCCTCCTTCCCTAGCTGCCTTCCCCTCTCACATCTCAGCATGTAATTCACTGACATTTGCCTTTGCAGAGTCACCAGAGAGCTATTTTTCTGATGTTGGAAGGGATCTAATCTGATGAGAAGCCTGAGCCTTCCCTCCATGTGCATAGAGCAGTTTACCAGGCATCCTTGCAGGCCTGAACGTTATGAAAATCAGATAATCCCTCTTCAAATGTTCACAGATAATGATTTCCATTCACAACGTGCTGCAAAGTAACAGCCTCCAAATAAAACATTCCAGATTGGGAAGATTCCAAAGACAAAGGAAGCCAAGTTGTCTCCACATTCTTTCATCCCTTACACTCTGAACATGTTGTCCCCCCCCCCCTTTATTTGTGTGGCCTACCAGTTGTACCAAAATGTGACTGTCAGAACAGCTAACGCCTGCCGAAGCCTCTCCAGGTGAATATGCTAGTAGAAAGGAATCTGGTTTGGAAACCCATGATAATTGATGCCATTTCACAAACAAACAAAACCCCATTGAAAGAGTTTTAACCCAGCATATCAAGACCTCTTGTCGTCATTCTAGTGATTGGGCTCTGGGAGGATGGCGGGATTTGAAGTACAAGGACACAAAAGTGGTACTTGAAACGCCACACTTGGAAAGCGTTGTTGGAGAGTGACTCTGTTCTTACATGAGCTGGCTCTGATTACCCAGGCTCATGTCACCATTAAAGGAAGGTGTCTGTGTAAGATGGGGGAGGCACCAGCCTTCTCTGCCTAGATGTGAACATCCCTCTCTTATTTTCCCCTTCACAGTAAGAAAGTAGGAAAGACTGTACTAGGAAAACTAAGGAAAGCAATCACCTTTGAAGTTGGCCATGTTGGGAATCTGTGGAGTAGAGATTGGGGTGGGGCAGGGGTGGACTCAAAAAGGGGAAATGCTACCTATTGTTGGAACAAGAGTTTGAAAGTTGGCAGGGATTTCAGAGGTTACTTAGTCCAAACTCATTTTACACATTGGGAACTAGAAGCCTAGCATGGGATACAAGGGACTTGCCGACAGTCATATCTAAAGACAAAACACTAGAAGATTCAGTGACAAGAGTACTGGACTTGATGTCACCAAGATCTTCATGTTTATTTTTCCTACCAGTGTCCGCTCCCTCTTCCTTCTTCTTCCCTCTCCCTGCTCCCAAATGTCTTAGCTACTCATTAGCTTTATGATCCTAGAAATGCCACTTATTGCTTCTTGTCTTTGGTTTCCTCATCTGTAAAATGAGGAAAACATTAATGATAGCACTTAACTCACAACAAATGTCAGCTTGAAAAAAATACAAGACTTAGATTAGTCTCTTGGCTTTCTTTCCAACACCCTACATTTCATCAGTATCTGTTCAGGGAACAATGAAAAGATTTTGGATTCTAGAATCATGACACTGACATCTTGCACCACAGCTTCATTTTTAAAATGAGACCTCTCCCCATGTCTCTCTGGGCTAACTGACCTCTGAAGATCTCCAAGGAAGATGTAGTAACTATACAGCCAGTAACTGGAGTTACTTTCCTCTCTAGAAGTGGAAGGCTGGCCTAAATGACTCCAGCCTTCCATACTGAATGAGCCCCCTTTTCTATGAAATACCACAGTCAGTAAACATTTCCTAAGTACCTGCTATGCACCAGGCACTGTGCCGAGTGTTGGGGATACCCATAAAAAAAGGAAAGACAGTCCCTGCCCCCAAGGGGCTTACAATCTAAGGGGCAGGGGAGGCAAAACACAAAAGGAAGTGGAAAAGCAGAGGGAGAAGGGGAGGAGAAGGTATCCAATGATGGGGCATGGAGAAATCTCAGAGTAGTGCAGACAGGTGAGAAATGAGGAGATGTCTGAGATGAGCTCTCTCTTTAAATGGAGGTTTGGAGCTCATGACCTCACTTTCCAATAACAGAGGCAGAAGGTCATGATGAGGTGGAGTACAAGGGCTCACAGAGGTCTTATACTGTAAGCAATTATAAAGCCACTGTGGGGCATTACTTGGTAATGTGAAGGAAACACATTATTTGGCATTAGGGAGCTAGTGATCAGATCAGAATCTGAAGCAATTAAAAATATACAAATAGGCACCTAAATAAAAACAGAGGAACCATTTACACAAGTGACAGCTATGTTGTTGTTGTTGTTTGTCCTTCAGGGAGGTGATGCCATGACATGCAAGTGAATTGGATTTAAGTGAGGGACAGCTATAAAAAGGCACCAGTCTCACTTTCTCCTCTGGAGCCATCTGAGTCCAGTGGCCAGATACACATCAGGGTGACTGGAGATGACCCCAGATGCAGTAGAAGACCCGGGTCTTTTAAAGCTGAGGTCTTTAGCAGGTCTCAGTTTGACTGAGGCAAAACCTGTTCAGTGATTAAGGCTAGGTAAGAAATGAGGCAGAGAGTGGCCTCTTTTACCTAGTCCCCCAAAAAAAATCAAATTGGGAGGGAAGACCCTCAGGATTCTTTTGACAGCTACGTAGACGTGAGTATAAGTACTAAGCAAAGGCCCCTTCCTATCCTAGAACTCTATAAGAGGATACATAAATTGTGATTTCTTACTCCAGGAAAAATGTTTCTTGAAAACAGCCTTTAATAAACTGATTCCTTCAGAACATAAAGAATTCTTCCGTGTGTGTATGTGTGTATATGTGTGTGTGTGTGTGTGTGTGTGTGTGTGAGAGAGAGAGAGAGAGAGAGAGAGAGAGAGAGAGAGAGAGAGAGAGAGAGAGAGGGGAGAGAGGTCTAGAGTCCTACTTAATGGCAATACTCCTACCTTTGTTTTCAGTTTTGCCTTGGCCTCTCTGACACAGGGCTAGATTCAGAGGCAGAAATCCCCAGCACACTCATTCTTCATAACTCTAGCTGTATTGCAGTCAGGGTTGTCTTATGACAAGAGGAGTTTTGCAATGGATGCTACTGAATAAGGGAGCTGGACAGAATGGAAGAAAGGAGAAGGAGCTTCTGATAGAAAGAAAAAAAGAAAGGAGAGGAAGGAAGGAAGGAAGGAAGGCAGGCAGGAAGGCAGGAAGGAAGGAAAGAAGGCAGGCAGGCAGCAAGGAAGGAAGGCAGGCAGGCCACACTAGAGGAGCTTCTAGGAGAGCCTGTTTAAAGGCTGTGAGCTTCACTATGCATAAAGTGAACAGCCAGGAAAACAGACAGGTTATATCATATATTTAGTTACTGACAATTTTCTTTTCTTCTTATACTATCTGAGGATTACAAAGGTGCAACAAAGTAGAGGGTGCTATTTTTTTCCTAACTGCCAGGACAAGGTCTCATTCTGTATGTTTTTGTTTTTGTTTTTGTTTGCTTTTAGGCAATTGGGGTTAAGTGACTTGCCCAGGGTCACACAGCTAGTAAGTGTCAAGTGTTTGGTCTGAGGCTGGATTTGAACTCAGGTCCTCCTGACTTCAGGGCTGGTGCTCTATCTACTGTGCCACCTAGCTGCCCCCAGACAAGGTCTCATTCTAAAAGCAGAGATCTCATAATACCTAGCAGACACTATTTGGCTGGGGAGAGGGGGATGTGGTATGGCTGTGAAGAAGGTTGTTAGTGAAGGGCTATTCTATGTGAAAGGGCTAATGAGGTTGGAATTTTTTAAATTGAGTTCTACTCCTTCAGCTTTTTAAATCAGGTTACCTGTTGTAAGGTTAATTCTCCTTAACAACAACAAAAAAATTATACCACTTTATAGTTTACAAAGCACTGTCCTATACATTATGTCCTTTAAACTTGACAACTGTCTTGTGAGATATAGTCCAATATTCTATTATCCCTATTTTACAGATATGGAAACTGCTTGGTTCAAGGTCATATCCTCTTCTCAGCTGCCAGACTTATTTTCTTTTTTTTAAAAATTTATTTTATCAATTTATTTTGATTTATCAATAATCACTTCCATATGCTTTTAGGTTTAAAATTTTTCTCCCCCTTACTCCTTACCACCCTCCCCAAAATGGTGCACAAGATGATATAGGCTATACATTTACATTCTGATTAAACATATTTTCACATTACTGATGTTGTAAGTAAAAATTAAAACCAATAGGAGGAACCATCAGAAAGAGGAAACAAAACTCAACAGAAGAGAAAAAAATAGCAATTCAACTTCCATACTTCTTTCTTTGGATGTGGATAGCATTTTCCATCATGAGGCCTCTGGAGACGTCTTAGATCCTTGTATTGCTGGGAAGGGTTAAGTTTGTCACTATTAGTCATCACACAATGTGGCTGTTATTGTGTTCATTGTTCTCTTGGTTCTGCTCACTTCATTCAGCATCAGACCATACAAGTCTTTCCAGGTTTTTCTGAAGTCAGCCTGTTCATCATTGCTTATAGCACAATGGTATTCCATTACATTCATATACCACAACTTGCTCAGCCATTCCCCAGTTGATGGGCATCCTCTCAATTTCCAATTCTTTGCCACCACAAAAAGAGCTGCTATGAACATTTTTGTACACAGACTGATTTCCTTAAAGTTCTGACCAT